TTATGTCAATAATTTCAACAATTTGAAATACTAGACAAATTCCTTGAAAATTACAATTTATCAAAACTGGCCCAAGAAGAAATAGAACATCTGAATAGCCTCATCTCTACTTCCTGCCCACTAGGAAAACTAGATGGCTTCACTGGTGAATTCTATCAGCTATTTAAAGAAGAAATAAGAACAGTCCTACACAAACTCTTCCACCACTTCCTAGCAGAAAGAACATGAAATAGTCAGTGATAAACTTGATAAAATAAGTGCAGGACCTGAAAACTATAAAACATTACTGAGAAAAATTACAGAAGACCAAAATAAACAGTGAGATATACCATTTCCATGTATTGGAAGACTGAGTATTGTTAAAATACCTTCCCAAGCTGATTTACACATTCAACACAATACCAATTGAAATCCCAGCAGACTTTTTTGTAGAAATTGATGTGTTTATTCTAAAATTTCTGTAGAACTGAAAAGTGCCTTGCATAGCCGAATAAATCTTAAAAAAGAACAAAAATATTGGAAAGCCTACACTTCATGATTTCATGACATGTTATAAAGCTTTAGCAGTAAAGACTATAATATTGTATAACCATAGACATACACCATGTTCAGTAGAACATAATAGAGCTTCCAAAAATTGACCCACATATATATGGTCTAAGGAACCCTGGTGGTGCAGTGGTTAAAGCACTCGGCTGCTAACCAAAAGGTCAGCAGTTCGAACCCACCAGCCGCTCCACAGGAGAAAGATGTGGCAGTCTACTTCTGTAAAGATTTACAGCCTTAGAAACTCTATGGGGCAGTTGTACTCTGTCCTGTAGGGTCACGATGAGTTGGAATTGACTCAACAGCAGTGGGTATGGCAGTGAGTATATGTGGTCTGTTGATTTTCAACCAGGTTGGTAAGGTAATTCAATGTAGAAAGGATAATCTTTTCAATAAATGATGCTGGGTCAGCTGGATATTTGTATGGAAACAATGAGTAATAGGCCTAAACATAAAAAACTAAAAACTATAGAATTTCCGGAAGAAAATATAGAACAATTTTATAACCTTGCATAGACAGATTTCTTTGGGCAAAGAAAACATTAACATAGAGGAAAAAGTTGACAAATTTGACTTTATTAAAATTGATAACTTTTGCTATTCTAGTAATCCTACTGGAGTCCTGATTGCACAGTGATTAAGGGCTCGGCTGCTAACTGAAAGGTCGACAGTTTGAATCCACAGCCACTTCTTGGAAACCTATGGGGCAGTTCTGCCCTGTCCTATGGGGTCACTGTGAGTTGGAATTGACGGCAATGAGTTTTTTGGTTTTTTAATAATCCTACTAAAAATCAAAAAGGCAAGTCATAACTAGGAGAAAATATTTGTAAGTTGTATATTTCATAAAGAACTTGTATCCAGAATATATAAACAACCCTTGTTGTGCGTTGTTGAGTTGAATCTGACTCATAGTGACCATATATGACAGAGTAGATCTGCCCTATAGGGTTTCCCAGGCTGTAATCTTACAGGAGCAGATCACCAGGTCTTTTCTCCTGCAGAGCCTCTGGTAGGTTTGAACCAATGACCTTTTGGTTAGCAGCCAAGTGCTTAAACATTGTGCCACCAGGGCAACTTAATAAAAAGAAGACAACTCATTTTTAAAATAAGTAAAATATTTGAACAGCTCTTGACAGAACATATACGAATAGTATATAAGCACATGAAGAGATGCTGAACATCATTGTTCATCAGAGAAATTCCAATTAAAATCATAGTGCAATATTACTTCCCATCTATTCTAAGGCTAAAATTAAAAAGACTGACAATTCCAAGTATTGGTGAGACTATGAAGCTACTGGAACTCTCATACATTGCAGATGGGGATATAAAATGGCACAAGCACTTTCGAAAATAGTTCGTCAGTTTCTTACAAAGGTAAAGGTAAACATAGACTTATCATACTCAGCGATTCTACACTTAGGTATTTACTCAAGGTAAATGAAAACTTTTATATATAGAAAAGACTTCTACCAGAATGTTTATTGCTACTTTATTTATAATTGCCAAAAACTAGAAACAACCCAAATGTTCATCAGCAGATAAACAGCTATATAAACTGTGTTATATCCATGTAATGGAATACTGCTCGGTAATAAAGGAACAGATTACTCCTACCCAACATCATGGATGAATCTGAAAAATATGCAGAGTGAAAGAAGCCAGATGTAAAATGGCACATAACGTATGACTCCATTTATATGAGGTTTTGAACAGGCAAAACAAGTCTGTCATGACAAAAAGCAAATCACTGATTGCCTAGGGTCAGGCATTGACTGCACATGTATACAGTGCAACATTTTGGGGTGATAGAAATGTTCTAGATCTTGATTTTTGTGGTGTTTGCACAGGTATGTACATTTGTCAAAGTGCATCATACTGTATTTTTTTAAGTGGGTATTACATGTAAATTATACCTCAATAAAAAAAAAAATTTTAAATATCCTATCCAAACTTTATTTTATAGCACAGATTTCTGTGACTTTTTCTCTCTGATTTCCCTTAAATTGAGATATAAGCTATTCCTTCTTCTTAATCTATGGTATTTGTTTGGTCTTTTCTTTTGTCTTACAATTTACTAGGCTATACGCTCTTATTTATCTTTGCTTACCCTGTAGCACCTTATTCATTGAAACCTTTCAATAGATGTTTGTTAAACTAAGTTGATTTAATGCAAAGGAGGAGTTATTATTTACTGCTGTGATCACAATTCTAAAGTCTTAAAAGAATCACAGTCCTGGATATCAGCAAGATTAAGGCTGTAAAGCAGCTAATTAGACATCCTTAGGGAAGTCCTAATTTACATTTTAGAGTAGTCCCATCTTACATTCTGTGGCATTAGGTGGTAGATACATGAAAGATGAGTGCTTCTGGGCCCTCTGGAAGTTGTCTTTAAGGTAAGCATCCAGTGCTGGTTGCAAGGGCCTGGAGGATTTATGGAAAGTAAACTAACCGACAATGTATTTGATCCCAGTAATGAAAGAAAATTTGATAGAATCACAGAAACTTAGGACTAGAAGGTATCATTGATGTCATTTAATGCAACCCATTATTAACAGACCCAGAGAGGGTAAGTAAGCTGCCCAACACCATACAGCAAATAAGAGGCAGAGTTCAGACTAGAACCCAGGTTTCTGCCAAGTCTTATACCCAGAATTGAGCAATAGTGGAGAATTGAGTGTGTGTGGAAGTTGAAATGAGTTGCACCAGACAAGGCTTTCACTGGGTCGGGATTTGGAGTTTAGAAGCAAACAGGATAGGTAAAAGAGCAAGGGCAGGGGTCAGCTCTCATTAACAGTAAGCCAAAACTGGAGCCTTAGGGTAGGGCCACAAATTGGTTTACGTTTTCCTGGTGATGTTTTTGCTTCATTTGCCGCTTGAGAAGCACTGGTTTCATCTATAATTGAAACCTATTTTGTGTACTTGTCAATGTGTTTCCTACAGTAAGAATAGCTTATTAAGTTGTTAATATATAACTTAGAATATTGCTGGATTCTATAGGAATGTTAAAACAATCTAAATAGAGTTAACCTTTCTTCCTCAAACCTTTCCTTTTTTCACTATTCTCTGCTCATTTGCAAATTTATGGGGGGAGAGGCAGGTAACAGGTGCTATTTTGCATTTCATTTTTTAAGAACAGTACTGTCAATTATATAATTAATTTCAAGAGGTCATTTTGAATTTTAATGATGAAGGATGTTAAGATACAAAACATAGCTTTGAAAGTTACAGCAAAGCATGCTCCTTAGATGGATCCTTTGAATGAAGAATAGTAGTGGGGATGGTGATGATGAAGGAATAGAGACTGCTACTATTTAATGTATTCTTCACTCTCAGTATATGGCTGCAGCCTCCAAATTTTACAAAGAAAATAATCATCAGTACAGCATCTCTGCTTTCTTATGGATTGATCTTTTTGTAAAGCAGCTTCTTGGTTTTCTTAGTAAAAGTATTTTATTTTAGAATGTATCTCTAGACACTTAACTCCTGGTAGGCCTGGGAAAATGTAGATTACTTCATGTCTCTTCAAAATTCCTTTCAAGGAAATGAGTCAAGCTCGATTTGTGTTTTTGAGATAGAGGAGAGTAGTAAAGTAGAAGGAAGAAGGAAATCTTAACTTTGCTTTGGGGGGAGGAAAAATCTCTTTCAGTCCTTTATTGACCGCTTAGCTTCTGCATTAGTCATAGGTCCCTTCCTCCTTGGCCATGGATGGACCAAAGGAATAGCAGCCATTTATAAGTTTGTAAAAGGGACAGTGCAAAGGGAAGAAAACAGGTGATACAGAAAAGTGTAGTTTCTTTTTTTCTTTTCTCCTGCTAGGTTTTTACAGTTGTATATTTAGGTCAATGGTTTCTGGATATTTGGCCTCTTTTTTTGCTCCTTTATTCATTTTTTTTGATGTTATAAAATACAATGCTAAGTTCCTAGCCCTAATAATGAGATAGTATTCAAAGTCCAGTTTTTTTAACTGTTAGAATGAAAGTCAACCACAATGGAAAGCTAATGGACACAGTTAATGCTGATTTTTTATATTTTTATAGAGGTTGATTATTTTTAAAGTGCTTTCATATATTTCTTCTAATAGTATTTTTGAGGTAGACAGGGCAAATGCTGTTATCCCTATTAAATAGGTAAGGAAACTGAGGCTCATAGAGGTTAAGTGATTCGTTCAGATTCATGCAACTAATAATGGGGCTAAGACAAAAGCTTATTCAGATTTTTCACTACCCCTTGGGGGTCCAACTTGAGTAATAACAAATTGAATAGTCAATCTATAAATACTTTAAAGGTGCCAAGATTGAGTAACATGGATTTATAATACCCAGTATTGTAGCTCAGGCAAAATAATAGTATTTTTAGCCAGTTTTCTTTTTATTATGTAATTTTTTAATGCAACTCAAGTTACAGTTCTCAAAAATTTCAGTTAATTAAATAGCTCTCCATTTGTTTTGTAGGAGAAGATGGTGTAAACTGGTTCATCAGTGACAAAGACGTTGAGGTAAAATCAAATTGTTTTTAAATTCGGAGTAATAGTTCAATAATTTCCTTTGATTCATATTTTCCTTTTATTTTTTTATGATAACTTTTGGAAGATTAATAAAGTTTATTTTGGTTTGTTTTTAAATAGCAGTGATCCAAGTGGCTTATAAGAAAGGGTGATTTAACTTTTCAGAAGCTTGATTCATCCAGTCAGTTAATAGCCGAAATGATTAATCCTCTTTTCCTTCTGTTTCTGCTCTGCCATGGTGAGTCCTCTTCAGCCTTTATGGCCTGGTACCACTAAAGACCAACACCGGAAATAACCACTTCTTCACTGGAAGGAAATGGTTAGTCTATATTTAGAATGTGGCAGGTGTTTGTCTTTGTCAATTATTAGCCTTAATTGTGGCAGATGCTAGAAAAGAGAATAATTTTACAATTTGGTAGAAGAAAAGTTTCAAGAGAGAACTAGAATATATCTCCTTGTCGTCTACTTGGCCAGTTCAACAGAATAACAAGTAAGAAATGAAAGCTTTTTCGAAGATGGAATTCTACCAAACAAGATAAAAGCATAGTTGGGATTTACATATCACTCTTTAGATATTCCATATAATATGCTTTGCTAATATTCTCTTTTGAGATACTAAATTTGTGCTAAAATATGGGATGACTAGATTTGGATCACTGTGTAGACAGAATGAATCTTAAAAAAAAACTCCAGTGGAAGGAGAGTATCTTCTTCCCTTTTATAAGTTACAATCCAGTTTTGTATGCAGTAACCTTGGGCTGTTCAAAAGAAGGAATGTATTCGGTTGCTGTGGGGTTTTATAATTTTATAATAGGCAAAATCATGAAAACAGTATCCTGTGAAAAAATTTAAGCAGGCTTCTCATTCCGAAAAATACGTTATATATTCAGAGATAGATAGAAGTCAGCGTTGTCTTTGGCTCTGAATGGTACCAGAATGTCTAAATGATACATATCGGTACGTCTACTGGACCTGAACCATAAGTAGAGAGAGATATAAAAGAAGGGGAGCCATAAGGAAAAGAAGTATAAAAGAATGGGGAGGTGGGGCAGACAAAAAAAAGAGGAGAGTTATCTTCATGGCACCCCCTTTTAAGTTTTTCTACCTTCTTTTAAGAAAGTGCAAAGTTCCCTGCTGCTAGATTCCAAATTGAATAGACCAAACCAAACAACCCACTGCCGTTAAGTCCATTCTGACTCAATAGGACAGAGTAGAACTGCCCCATAGCGTTTCCACGGCTGTAAATCTTTATGAAAGCAGACTGCCCACATCTTTCTCCTGCGTAGCGGCTGGTTGGTTTGAACCACCAACCTTTCGGTTGGCAGCCAAGTGCTTTAACCACTACGCCACCAGGACTCCTATTGAAGAGACGGTGACTGTTAATTCTCTTGCCTTATAAAGGTAATGTAACTGATTTGAAGTTTGATGTTTCTTCACTCTTCTCATTGATAATTGTCTTTAGAAAGAGAGACATTAGACTTTTTATTAAGTGAGAGAAGTTTTTTTTCTTAATTTTTGATTTTTTTTTTTCCTTTAGGCCCACATAGGTAATAATAGATCGTCTGGAAGATGGACCCACCGATACTATTCAGCCAACAAAAATGTTACCTGTAGAAACTGTGACAAATGTGGCCATTTGTCAAAAAACTGTCCCCTCCCACAAGTACGTGAAATATGTAATGTTTCTTTCCATATTATTAAAAATCATAAAATCATAGGGTTGGAATCCTATAACATTAGAATTGAAATCTTTTGTAACATACATGTTAAATTTCATGTAGCTCACAGCTGGGTGTAGTGGAAAGAAACAATAAACTTAGAGTCAGAAAAACCTAGGATCAGTTTCAGCTTCCCAGTACTAGTTGTATGACCTTGAGCAAAAGTCATCTAGCCCTCTGTGCCTGTGCTTTCTTATGTATAATATGAGGAGATTGAATCAGATGATTCATGAGACCCCTTTCACTTCTAAAACTGCTATTTTATAAGACAACTTGTTTCATTTTGGGATAATTTTCACTGATAGAAAAAGGCATTTATAAATGTTTATTGTTATAAATTATGTTAAGCAGATACATCAACACTTGGAACCACATAGAACTAAAGCTCTTAGACTTTGCCTGATACATAATAAGCTCTTAACAAACATTCCTTCCATGACCTACACCCTCTTCCAAATGACTGTCTTTCAAATATTTGAGACAGCTCTTGTGTTTTCTCTTTGTCTTTGCTTCTCCAGGCAAAAGAACTTCTTTCTGTATCTGTTCCTCTTATGACTTAGCTTGCAGATCCTCATCATCCTGCTTTCCTTCTTAGACGCCTCCACTTTGTCAGTGTTCCTGTAAGACATTCCCTAAGAAGTAGATGCCAGCTGATAGAACATGCACATGCCTTTTTGGCAACCACAGTATATAGATGGCTTGTGTTAAAGCTCTAATTTCAAACATTTTGTTTGGTTTTACAATTATGCTCAAGATTGAACCTTTATTGGGTCTCAAATTAGAAATAACTTTTTATGGGATCTTATAGGCAAAGAAAAATTAATCTGCTATTCGAGATTGAAATGTTTTGCTAAAGAGATCTTTTGTTTGTCTGCCAAATAGAAAGTCCGCCCCTGCTGCCTCTGCTCTGAGAGAGGACACCTCCAGTATGCCTGTCCAGCCCGCTTTTGCTTAGACTGTTCTTTGCCCATGTCTTCCACTCACAGATGTCTTAAAAGATCTTTCTGGAGAAAACGATGTGACCGATGTGATATGATAGGCCACTATGCTGATGTGAGTATTCTGCATATAACTAATTTGTCGGCTTTGGGGGCACTGTGCTAGTTTGTAACTATCAGTCAGCCTACCTAAAAGAATGTTTGCTGTGTACTACATAGAATGATAGCCATGTCCCTTTGGCCACTAATCATGTAAAGCAGTGCTCTAATATCTTAGCATTGAGGGGTTTACTGAATGGTTTAGCAGCATCAGTAAATATTGTAAGCCCCTGTGCTTAATGTGCTAGCCAAGTAAAGGTTGAGATTAAGAGTTATGTAATAAAAAACCTGTAAAATTTGTCTATATCCATGCATATTTAGATGAAAATATATAGACACTTAGCAGTTGTATATGCATGTCTATATGAAGCCTGTCTTGAAGCTGCTTATTAGTGGCTCTAGTTGATATAAATAGTCTTAGTCAAAAAGGACAAGTCACCCAGTACTTTAAATCTGCTTGTTTTAGCATTGTCTTTAGATTAAAAAGAAAAAAGTAATTTAGAAGACATTTCAGTTTTGTGCAGCACATTAAAAACGTTATATTGGATATTGTTTTGCATCATATTGTAAATGTGTTTGGGGTTCTGGTTACACGAATTTCTGAGACCAGAAGGTTTATTGAGGTAAGTCCGCTTTGATGTGGAAAGTACAGTTTTACATTCAATTTACTTCTAATTCCTAATGAATGTCTCATTAAGTGTCTGTCATTTTAGCTCTTAATTGCATCTCTTACTACATAGTAACATATGTTTATTTTATATTACCAGCTAATCAGTACAAAGTCATTTTTCATACTCATACCTAGGTGCCTATCATAATTGGTTTAAGGGACACACTCTCATTTTTTCAAGCATTACTTATCTATTATAAAAAAAAAAGTAAGAATCCTTTTTCTTTAATTTGTACTTCCCAGACATGAAACAAAAACACAAATATTTTTCTAATTTTTGTTTATGTTGTAGTGTATCTGTAGCCTTTTGCTCAAAAAATTAATAGGGCTTCCTGTTGAGAAGAACTACAGATGAAAACGAATTAGAATGTGAGTGTTTTGTTTCTCTTGTAAATAGTATGCCAATTATTGATTTTAATTTTTAAAACTTTAACAAATAGGATCATACTATACACACTGTCCTACAACTTGACTTTTTTCAAATTAGTTCTTTATAGCTATCTCTCCATATCAGCTCCTAAAGAGCTATCTTTCTAATGACTTTTATTCCATTTTATGAATGCAACAGCTTACCTAGCCATTTCTCTACCAAATAAATTCAGATTTAGATTGTTTTCTGTTTGTTTTTTTTTTAAGCAAGTAGTGTATAGTGTGTGTGTGTGTGTGTGTGTGTGTGTGTGTGTGTGAAAGTATTTCAGTAAATCAAATTCTGTAAATGGAATTGTGTAAATAAGGAATTGGATAAATCTTGCCAAATTGCTCTTCTGAAAGGTTGTACCAATGTATCCCCTACCAGCAGTGTTAGAGTGCTCATTTCTCTACACTCTCATTAACACCAAATATTATCGATCTTTAAAATTTTTCACCAGTCAGAAAGAGAGAAAATGGTATCTTACTGTTTTAATTTGTATTTTTTAGTGAAGTTGAATATGATATTCTCAAGGTGGAAGTTGTAATTTCATTCCAAAGTAGCTTAAACTTACTTTTAGATATTTATGAAGTCTTAAAAATAATAAATCCTAAATTGTCTTGATTTTATACTACTGCTGTCTGCATTAAGTTATCAATTATAATATTTTCAGAAAGATTTTCCAGTCTGGAGTTATATAGTATATGTATTTTAGTTCTTTCTTCTAAAGAGCTCTTACAAACAGGGTCTTATTTGTCTGTGATAACAGAAGGGGGTCAGACATTATCATGAGCAGTTTTTTTTAAATAAGTAGCTGTAGTACAAGCAGTTAAGAATGACTTGTAAAGATTATATAATCAACTGTTAGTTAAATCTGTAGCCCATTCTCTTTAACTTAATTTTCTCCTCTAATGTATATTAAACCCCTTTCTAAAATGTCCTTGAGGATTAATAATCCCAGTGAGTATAAGTTTTTAAGATAGGGTTAGGCTGTGGCTAACTTCAGAGAAGGCATCATCCTTTCCCCGAAATCTGCCAGGATTTTACCGTTTTTTTGCAGTTACACATGAAAGTTCTGAACACTAACTAGGTCTGTTTCTAGCCTGTCCACCTGGTATAGGATTTCTTGGAGCCTAATCAAACCTAGACTCCACTGAGTCCTTCTAGAGAGGCGTATAGTCCTCCTCCTCCCCAGAAGCTCTTCATGAGGATTCACTTGGGAATGTAGTCATTCTGGCTCCAGGTTGCTGAAACTATTTGGGACTCCCTAAGTCCAGCCAGTCCCATACTGCCTTGGAACCTGGCCCTCCCCAGAAAATATTGTTTCCCCTACAACCCTCTCAAATGCTTGCTCTTCCCTCTTCTTTGACCCACATACCTCTGAATTAAGAAATAGGATCAGCCTCCTCCTTACTTGCCATGGCTGCTTCTAAACCATTGCTTCTCCCTCTCCATGTAAATGTCTTTGGTTTATTTAAGGCTTATGTCCTCTGACAATATTATTTGCTACCCTTCTTTGTCATTTTCATTTTCCTACTTGTGGGACTTTGTGCTCATTCACAGAGGACTTCTGAAGCCCTGAGTGACTATAGATGCCCTGACCTCTTACAAATTGACGAGATCAAGAAACTTCCACTTCTACTCTATACATTCACATAACCACATCATGGACCTCTGTTATGCCAGAGTACCAAATATATATGTGCAAAGAGAATTTATAATGAGAATTGATGAGTCATTTCATATTCTTGCTGTAATGAAACATTCTATCCTGAATTCTGCTTGGAAGACAGCTCATTCATTAGTTAATGACTTGTGTAAAAGTATTTGGTTGAAATCCCAGAATTTTACAACGTAGAGGTTAGAAAGATGGCTTAAAACCTACTAAAACCATCCTGCATTATTGGTGACTTAAGAAAGACAAGAATCTAGAGTGTGAAAAAGAATCTCAATTCTGAATCTGCCATAGATTCTCTCCTCTTACCAACAATTTTTCAATATACAGAGAATTTTAAAGAGTGTGTTAACATTTAGCTGTCACAGCCAGTCATTCTGTGAGATACATTGGACATTTCCAAGATAATAACAGCTGTAATTTATTGAGTACTTACTGTGTTTTGAGCACCATGCTAAGTGTATTATGTACTTGAGGGGTGGGGGTAGGCTTTGTTTACTTTGTTCACTGCTATATCTTCAGCATCTAATATCTGGCATATAGTAGATTTGTTCTCAGTGAATATATGTGATCGCTTCAAAGTCATTTATTTAATCCTCACAACCACCCTATGAGGTAAGTACTATTACTCCCATTTTTTAAAAGTTGGCGTGCCTGAGTTCTCACAGCTAAAATGATACTACACTTCATGAATGTACATGGAGAAAGCTTACTTACTGACTTTCTAGGAATTTTTAGTTTAACTCTTGCTCACAGGATCTCTCAAGTTTCTGTCTTAAACTCACAGATATTATAGATCTAATAAGCAACTTTGATAGAGAACTCATGATATTTAAAATATCAAAATATTTACTATAAAACAGATGAAAAAATAATTTTCAAATAAAAATAAATCATAGCTTTGGTTTTCACCCCTTTAAAGGATCTCCTAGGATCAAGAAAGCAGTACTGAGTGTTGATTTCCAGCCACAGACCCAATTCTATGATACCATAGAACTGTGCTGCTCATAAAAGACCATCTAAGCCTCAATAGTCTTTATTAATCATTGAGATGGTCACTCTTTTTCATTAAAGCATAATGACTGAGTTGATCAATATCAGATATAATTGAAATCCAGACCTCCTAAAATTTCTCCCTTTCTTAAGTTTTTTCTCAAATTCCCCACTCAGCCTTCTACCCCAGTCCATGTTAAGTAGCTCCTTTAATTTAACCACTGTATGCAAGAATAAAATACTATCCACTTGTGGGAAGCTCAGCACTTAAGTCACTCTTTTTCTCTTTTTTCTTTTAAATGAAAAGATGATTTCTCCATATGCTAAAACCAGTTGCCATGCGTGGATTCTGACTCATGACAACCCCATGTGTGTCAGAATAGAACTGTACTCCATAGGATTTTCTTTTTCTTTTTTTTTAAATTGTTGTAAAAAATATAGATAACACTATACTTGCCAATTCACCATTGGTCCCTTGTACAGTGCAATGAAACCAATCACATTAATCATATTATACAACCATCACCAATATCCATTGCTGTATTTTCCATCCGTATAAACAAAAGTTAATGGTAGCTCGACAGTCACTCGTTTAAGTTGGGTTTTTTAATGCAGTGGGAGAAAATGATTCATAAACATATTTCACTTGAGTCCCTTTTAAAATATTTGGTGCTAGGAAAGAATTTACTCTCTTAAATATCAGTTATATACTAAAATATTTTTAGCAACTCAAAAGTTTATTTTTAAAAGAAGAACTCATTCAGCCATAAAGATTAATGAAGTCCTGGCACATGCTACAACATGGATGAACCTTGAAAAGATTATGCTGAGTAAACTGTCAGGCGTAAAAGAACAAATATTTTATGTTCCTATTTATATAAAATATCCAGAATAAGCAAATGAATAGAGACCAAAGTTTTTTAGTGGTTACCAGGAGTAGGTGGGAGGGGGAATGAAGGGCAATTGCTTAAAGGGTACATAATGAAAAAATTTGGAAATGGATAGTAATCATTGCACAACATAGTGAAAATAATTAATGTCACTGAGTCCTACACGTAAAAATGGTTCAAATGTTTTGTTATATGTATTTCATAACAATAGAAATTTTAAAGTAAGATTCAGGTAGTCATTGTACCTATGGAAAGAGAACAATTTAAGATGGGAATTGTTCTAGGATTAAAAACGTGATTACTGAGTTAAAAACACAGTGGAGAAGGTGAGCAATAGATGAAAATTGGTGGGGAACCAAATCACCTGAAGAAATTTCTC